CCAAGAGATAAAGTCACACGCCTAAAACCATCTGAACTTTGACAAAGTCAAACTGAGAAAACTCACTATGTATAGAAGATTGAAACAGATCCCTTTCTTTCCCCCTTTTTGACAAAGTAAAAAGCTTGAAACTGATCCTTTTTTTTTTTTTTTGACAAAGTCAAACGGGGAAAACTGACTAGCCATGTACAGAAGATTGAAATTGATCCCCTTTCTTTCACCATATACAAAATCAACTGGAGAGGAATTAAAGATTTAATTATAAGACCTAAAACTACAAACATTTCAGAAGACAATCTAGTACATACCCTTGTGGATATAGGTCTGGCAAATATTTCATGACAAAGTCTCCAAAGGCAATTGCAATGAAAACAAAAGTAGATACATGGGACCTAATTGAACTAAAGAGCTTCTACACAGCAAAGAAAACTTTCAACAGCGTAAATAGACAACCTACAGTATGGAAGAAAATATTTGCAAACTACGCAAGCAACAAAGATCTAATATCCAGAAACAATAAGAAATGTATACAGAACTCAAATTTATAAGCAAAAACAAATAACCCTATCAAAAGTGGGTAAATGACATGAAAGATACTTCTCACAGAAAGACATACAAGTAGCCAGCAAACATGAAAAAATTCTCTGCTAGTCAGAATGGCTATTGCTAAAAAGTCAGAAAATAACAGACATTCACGAGGTTACAGAGCAAAGGGAATACTTACACACGGCTGGTGGAAATGTAAATTAGCTCCACCACTGTGGAAAGTAGTTTTGAGATTTCTCAAATAACTTAAAACAGAACTACCATTTGACCCAGCAATTCTGTTACTGAATATATACCCAAAGGAATAGAAATCATTCTACCAAAAAAGGCACATGCGCTTGCATGTTCATGACAACATTATTCACAATAATAAAGACGTAAAATCAACCTAGATGCTGAACAGTGGACTGAATAAAGAAATGTGGCACATATACACCATGGAATACTATACAGCCACAAAAGAATGAAATCATGTCCTTTGCAGCAACATGAATGTAGCCGGAGGTCACTATCCTTAGTGAATTATCACAGAAACAGAAAACCAAATGCCACATACTCTCACTTATAAGTGGGGGCTAAACATTGAGTGCATGTGGACACAAACAGGGGAACAATAGGCACTGGAGCCTACCTAAAGGTGAAGGGTGAGGATCAAAAGCCACCTATCAATACTATGCTCATTACTGAGCATAGTATTGATATTACTACGATATTATTGATATTACTATTGATATTACTCATTACTGCTCATTAATGATTATGAAGAAATCATTTACATATCAAACCCCAGTGACATGCAGCTTACCCATGTAACACATTTGCACATGTACCCAACTGAACTGAAAATAAAAGTTAAAAAAAAAAAAAGAAAAGAAAACCAAATATATCATGTTTTCACTTATAAGTAGGGGCCAAATCTTAAGTACGTGGTTGCGGACAGCTGGTAGGAACTCCAAAAGGAAGGAGGGAAGAGGACAAGGCCCGACAAGCTTCCTGCTATATGCTGTTTGCCGTCTGGGTGTCTGGATCAATAGAAGACCAAACCATAAAATATTCCCTTGCAACAAACATGTATGTATACCCCACACAACTAAAATAAAATTGAAATTAAAAAAATAGAGATGGAGGAAGGCAGGGGTCAGAGCCAAAAACTTCAAGATAATATATTTGTATTATTTGAAACCACAAAGTTTGTGGTAATTTGTTAAGGCAGTAATAGAAAACTAATATGAAGGGTGTATAAACTTAAATCTTTACCTACAATAATGGAAAGTCAATAAGTGATATATGAAAAAACATTTTTAAAAAAGAAAACTAATATAAAGGGCATATAGAGTATTTCCTTGTTTTTTGGCACTTACTTTTGCTTCTAAGAAATTTACTGCCTTTCTGACTTTGTTTAGCATTTTTATGTGTTTGGAGCATGGTTGACTTGGTGTGTGTTTCACCTCAGTCACTGATAGGAATACCTTGGTATTAAATATATCTTTGTTATTAATTTCATGGTAACAGTATATGTTTCTTCATTGTGATTACAGAATATCGTTTTCACAAATTTTACTTTAAAAATGTTAGGGGTTGTCTATGGTCTAAAATATGATGAAATAATTTTGTAGATAATTATGAAACATAACAACATTTAATCTCTATAATTATGATATTCTGTATAATTGTTTAATGTATCTTAAAAGCTATATCGTTTAAATGATCTTTATCAATTTTATAGCCTACCTGATCTCTCAAACCTGAAATGATCAATTCTTTCATTATAATTACATAATTTTTTAGTTTCTGAGTGTGTATATAAATAGCTTTTATATTGTTTGATGGTATTATTTATCAAGTAAGCGTTGGTTGTTGTATTTTCAATATGTTTTTGTAATTTATTATTTTCTGCTTTTATCTTCATTAATTCTTTTTACTACCTACTTTTTGATTTCCTTTGTTTTCTAGTTTCACAGTTGGCTGTTTCCTTAATTTTTTAATGTTTCTATTTAATAATTAAATATATATATTCCTATGAATTTTTCTCTGAAGTGGCTTTGCCTTTATCTCACAGTTTATGTGTTCAAATTTTCACTGAGTTCTAAAGAGTCTGTACTTTCAGCTAATTGTTTAAAGTTTTTTTTTCTATTTTTAAGAGATTACATTTATAGTTTTATATTTAATTTTTTGTTCTTTGCACTGTAATAAGAGAATATGGCCTGTCTGCCTTTTTTAATTTAATGGGATTTTACTATACATCTTGGTATGCAGACAATTTGTGAAAAATATTCCCTTATATACCTTAAAAGTATGAGTATTTTATGTTAGTTGGTTCTAGAATTACCAACATTTTAATCTGTCAGACTTTTGTGATCAATTAAATCTTGTTTAATTGTCAAGTTCCCACTTGTTTTGACAATTTGGAAAGAAAGATATTAAAAAATATTTCTTTATGATTAAAGCTCTATCAGTTTTTCTTTTGATCCATTTTCTTCACAGCAGAATCGCTTTAAATAAATATAAAACCTATATATACCTTTCCATATTTTGCTTAGAATAAAATGTTAACTTGTTTCTGTTATCTTACTCAACATTCTTTATTCTGCAGCAAACATTGAGCTAACTTCTTCCTCAGAGACTTTGCACATGACACTCATTTTCTGGAACAAGTCCACCTCCCCACCTTTCACCCTACACTGTGTTTTTGGTATCTTGCTTGTCTCCCTCCTCATCTTTCAGTTTCAGGTGCTTAAACGTTTCTTTCTCACATAAGCCCTCCCAGAACTAAAATAGGCTTTTTTTTTTTTTTTTTTTTGAGACGGAGTGTCACTTTGTTGCTAGGCTGGGTGGAGTGCCCTGGTGTAATCTCGGCTCACTGCATCCTCTGCCTCTCAGGTTCAAACGATTCTCCTGTCTCAGCCTCCTGAATAGCTGGGACTGCAGGTGTGCACCACCAGGGCCAGCTAACTTTTGTATTTTTAGGAGAGACGGAATTTCACCATGTTGATCAGCATGGTCTCTATCTCTTGACCTTCTGATCCGCCCGCCTGTGCCTCCCAAAGTGCTAGGATTACAGGCGTGAGCCACCACGCCCCGCCGGGCTCTTTCTTAAAGAAGAAAAATTTTCAACTAATTTTTTTTCTCCACTAGCTATTGGTCTCAGCTGCTTTGAACATAGAGATTCAAATACAGAGACTTTTGGGGATATATACATATATATCTTTCAAGAAGTAAAAACCTCTCAGGAAGTTGTCCTTTCTTTGTCGTTAAATTTCAGCCCTTGGAACTGATGTGCTTCTTTGCAATTTTAATCATAGTTTTATCATACCTTTCAGAAAATCCTAAAATGTACCGCTTCTTTGATGGCCCACTTCATAATTTGACAGTACTGTTAGATAATTATTATTTTGCAGCTCTTTTCCTTTCATCTTATTGAGAGGTAAAGAGGTAAATATATAAGGAGAATTTGTTATATAGAAATCCAGATTTTAAAGCAAAAAAATCCTAAGGAATAGGTGTTGAATGACATGTTGACAAATGCTTTTTAGACTATTTTGAGTAAACATATTTAAATTTGATATAATTATGTATTATAATCTGTTTCATATTAGTCAACACTCTAGTTGGAATAAATTTACTTCTTAATAAGAGATCATACTTTTTATATATTTTGTACTTGCATTTGCTTGGTCCTTAAAAATAGGAAAAGATGTTCAAATTTATCCATAAGAGAAATGCCAATTAAAATTACACTGAGTTATTACTTCTCCCCTATCATGTTGGCAAAAATCCAAAAGTTTGACAACTGTTGGCAAGGCTATATGGAAATAGGCCCTCTTATATATTGCTGGTGATACTACAAAATGGTACAACCCCCATGGAAGAAAATTTGGCAGTGTCTAACAAAACTACATAATCATTTACCCTTTGACCCAGAACACTAATTACTAGGAATCTATCCCAAGGATATTCAGGAAAAATATGAAAAGACATATTCAGAAGACTATTTACTAGAGAACCATTTACAAAAGCAAAAGTGAGAAAGAACCCAAGTGCTCATCAATGGGAGATTCGTTGAGCTATTGTACACATCACAAAAATAGATATAAGTAGGAATTCTGAGCCTCCCAGAGAAAGATTTTACCTACAAAGTATTTTTTCTAAATAAATAAATAAAGTTAAGACTGTGTAGAGAAAAGCAGGCCTGAGACAGCTTATCCTTAGAGAAAGCCCTGCTTGCAAAATAGGTTGATCCTTGACTGATGTCTGAAAGCTGAATATCTTCTTTTTTTTAATTTTACTTTTTTATTGCATTTTAGGTTTTGGAGTACATGTGAAGAACATGCAAGATTGTTGCATAGGTACACACATGGCAGTATTTCTCCCCATGCTATCTCTCCCCAACTCCCCAACTCCCACTGTCCCTCCCCTATTTCCCCCCAACAGACCCCAGTGTGTGATGCTCCCATCCCTGTGTCCATGTGTTCTCATTGTTCAACACCCACCTATGAGTGAGAATATGTGGTGTTTGATATTCTGTTCTTGTGTCAGTTTGCTGAGAATGATGGTTTCCAGGTTCATCCATGTCCCTACAAAGGACACGAACTCATCATTTTTGATGGCCACAGAATATTCCGCGGTGTATATGTGCCACATTTTCCCTGTCCAGTCTATCATTGATGGGCATTTGGGTTGGTTCCAGGTCTTTGCTATTGTAAACTGTGCTGCAATGAACATCCATGTGCACGTGTTCTTATAGTAGAACGATTTATAATCCTTTGGATATTACCCAGTAATGGGATTGCTGGGTCAAATGGAATTTCTATTTCTAGGTCCTTGAGGAATCACCACATTGTCTTCCACAATGGTTGAACTAATTTACACTCCCACCAACAGTGTAAAAATGTTCCTATTTCTCCACATCCTCTCCAGTATCTGCTGTCTCCAGGTTTTTTAATGATCGCCATTTTAACTAGTGTGAGATGGTATCTCAATACGGTTTTGATTTGCATTTCTCAATGACCAGTGATGATGAGCATTTTTTCACATATTTGTTGGCCTCATGTGTGTCTTCTTTTGTAAAGTGTCTGTTCATATCCTTCACCCACTTTTGAATGGGCTTATTTGCTTTTTTCTTGTAAATCTGTTTTAGTTCTTTGTAGATTCTGGATATCAGCCCTTTGTCAGATGGGTAGACTGCAAAAATTTTTTCCCATTCTGTTGGTTGCTGTTTCACTCTAATGACTGTTTCTTTTGCTGTGCAGAAGCTGTGTAGTTTGATTAGGTCCCATTTGTCTATTTTGGCTTTTGTTGGCAATGCTTTTGGTGTTTTGGTCATGAAGTCTTTGCCTATGCCTATGTCCTGAATGGTTTTGCCTAGATTCTCTTCTAGGATTTTTATGGTGTTAGGTCTCATGTTTAAGTCTTTAATCCATCTGGAGTTAATTTTAGTGTAAGGTGTCAGGAAGGGGTCCAGTTTCTGCTTTCTGCACATGGCTAGCCAGTTTTCCCAACACCATTTATTAAACAGGAAATCCTTTCCCCATTGCTCGTTTTTGTCAGGTTTGTCAAAGATCGGGTGGTTGTAGATGTGTGACCTTGCGTCTGAGGCCTCTGTTCTGTTCCATTGGTCTATATCTCTGTTTTGGTACCAGTACCATGCTGTTTTGATACTGCAGCCTTATAGTATAGTTTGAAGTCCGGTAGTGTGATGCCTCCCACTTTGTTCTTTTTGTTTAGAATTGACTTGGCTATGCAGGCTCTCTTTTGGTTCCATATGAAGTTTAAGGTGGTTTTTTTCAGTTCTGTGAAGAAGGTCTTTAGTGGCTTGATAGGGTTAGCGATGAATCTGTAAATTACTTTGGGCAGTGTGGCCATTTTCACAACATTGATTCTTCCTAACCATGAACATGGAATGTTTCTCCATCTGTTTGTGTCCTCTCTTATTTCTTTGAGCAGTGGTTTGTAATTCTCCTTGAAGAGGTCCTTTACGTTTCTTGTTAGTTGTATTCCTAAGTATTTTATTCTCTTTGTAGCAATTGTGAATGGCAGTTTGTTCTTGATTTGGCTCTCTTTAAGTCTGTTATTGGTGTATAGGAATGCTTGTGATTTTTGCACAT